CACTCACTCAGAAAAGTCCCCAATCCCACAGCTGTGGGGTGTTCCCAAAGTGAGAAATGGGGGAACACTGGGAAAAATATAGAAGAGTCCTCGATCCCACAGCTGTCAGGATGTTCCCAAAGTGAGAAGTGAAGGAACACTCCAGCCCTGCATTCCCGAGGGCACAACCCTCGGAGGTCTCACCCTCTGCACAGTTTGATCTGCACTCGAAATTCCGACTTTTCTAAAGGAAAGGTTTTTATACATTTCGGGGGGAAGTCGGCGGAGAAATCCTAATTTCTTCCCAGTGCTCTTTTTTGGGGTTCCAGGAAATATTCCATGGCTGGCTGCATCCGCCCCTTGCCGTTGCTTATTCTGGTCCTTATAAGCAAGGCGAGGGAAGAGGGAGATCCTTTACTGAAGGATTCCTTTTCATGGAAAACACTGATTTCCAAAGGTAAAAAATAGGAAAGGATGGACTTGAAACAGGGAGGAACTTGTTCGTGGGGCTTCCAGAAGGGTTTGATATAAATTGAGTTTTATAGTTCCTAAATGCTACGACGGGAATGTTGGCAGCTTGTCCTAACTTAGCTCAGTTTAATTTTAAGACAGGCCCTTGTAAATCACTGACTGAAGGTTTATAAAGTACCTCAGCAGCTACTTACAGGTGTTAATTACAGGTATTAATTAGTGGAACTTATTGGAATAAGCAGATTTAGGTGGGAAGAGCCCAGGAAGGGTTTTTTATTTTCATAATCCTGCCCCTGAGGGACAGTTCAGTCTTTTAATACAACTGTAACTTTTATTTTTTTGGTCAGAATCTGTGTAAAACAGTGAGAAATGGACTGAAAAATCTCTTGAAGTATTTAAAATACTTACAAAGTGTCTGCACAGTCTCATTCCGTGGCAGGAAAATGAGATTTAAGCTTCCAACCTAAGGCCGATTCCAGTTTATGCCTCGCTCAAGAGATGGATTTTTTTACCTTTGGAATACGAGATGGCTGAAATTTCAATAACCTGAAACGCCTTTCAGGTGGTTTCAGCCCTTTTAGGTGGTTTCACCCTGGAATTCCAGGTGCTGCAGGCTGGGATGGAGATGTTGCTAAGGTTTCATTCCCAGTTTTCCCTCCCTGGACTTAAAAAGCCGAATTTAGGACTTTATTATTTTTAAGTTTTTTTGCACACCACGAGACTTTTATATAAACTCCTTGTGTCCTGTTAGAGGCCAGTAAAAGCCAGCAATTAGTTTGTGTTTTAGGCTTCCTGGGATATTCCCTGGATCCCAGGGGTGGAGCATCCTGAGAAGGCTCGTGAGTTTATCTATGCATGGCTAAACTTTATAGTCTTAATATCCTGTAGTGCCTGTAGAGCAAAGGTAGCAAAGCAGTGGATTTTGGGGGGGGGGGGTTGGGCTGGCAGGTGGTCACAGCTAAAAAACGTGGAATTATTGATTCCAGAATTCCTGGAGTTATCCAATCCTGGCTGCAATAAAAAGGGGGCTTTAGGGAATCGAAATCAAATTAAGAGTTGAGTTGTGTCGCCGATAAAACTCATCAACGTGCTCCTTTCCAGCCCCGGTTGTCTCATCTGCAAAGCCATATTTCTAGAGTTAGTGGGATGACTGTGTAATGTCAGAAGAAATTCCAGAGGTTGGGACGTGGTGGAGGCTTTGTCTCGACTCCTGAGTGAAAAAAAGAGTAGATTTAAGTGCAATTGTTTGAAAAATAGATGAAGATGCTGTAGCTGCTGGGGCTCTGCTGAAACTCTTTTTAAGAACTGCAATTTGTGCAAGCTCTCAAATCGATGCTGGTGGGGCTGATCCAAGCTGGGATTCCGAAGCCCCGTGAACAAAAAACAAAGAAAAAAAGGAAATAAATATTGAAAATTGGGTGTTTTTACTGTGCAAATTGAGCTGTTCCTTAAAAACTGGAGCAGGAGAGCTCAGAATAAAGGCCTAGTATCCTTCTCTGCTGTGCTGCATGTTCATGGTCATAGCTGTGTATTTACAAAAAAAAAAAGACCTTTCACCAGACTGCGAAATAGCTCAATTCATGTATTTTTGGTATGGAAAGAAATTACCTCAATTTTTACTTTTTATTTTTTTGAACTGTGACTTTTCAACCAGAATTTAAAACAAACAAACAAACAAAAAAAAATACCGAAATAGTGAAACTGTGACAGGTTGGTATCCTTGAAAAACGTTGTAGTGCCTTGGAGTGACACCATTTATTCCCCAAATAAATGAGTGTCGGGGGGGTCGAATCCCCCCTGTTTTTGTTTTTTAAAGGAAAAACAGTTTTGGTGAAAGGACTTAACGAATTTAACCTAGTGACAGATATATAGCACAACTGGTTAAACTGTTGAAAAGAAAGCTCTTTGAGGACTGAAATGTGTCGATGCCTGATGCTGCTGATATTTAAGAGCGGCCGCTGATTGTTGGGGAGTTGTTTCTGAACAATCAGCGGCGCTTTTGTTTTTTTTTTTTAAAGAAAAGTGTAACTTTTGTACTCTGGTCAGAGCTGTTTGTACTGTATCGACCCCCATCCAAGGGGGAATCTGATTCCTCCCTCTCTGGAAGTCGAGGTGAGGATGGAGCGACTCCCAAGGATCTAATTTTTGAATATTTTTAGCTACTGTACGACTTCAAAAAAAACAACAACAAAAAAAAAAGCACCGTTTGAACCCACCAATGTTTGGATACAGCAAAAGTGCCATTACACTTCCTCTCTCTTTTAATGTGTCAGGAAAATTTGTGTCCAGGCATTTTTTGGGATCCTGGGAAAAAAAAATGTGCTGAGAGTCCTCAAGGGGTTTCCACGCTTCGCTGATCTCCACGTGAGCAGCTTGTGGTGGTGTTTTTTTATTTCTTTCTCCTCACCAGGAATGAGTGTGATCAGAAGTTACTGAAGTTATAGGGAGAAAAAAAAAATAAATAAATAAAAATGTGAGAAACTTAGGAGAGGAACCTTTGCAGCTTGAGCTGCTCTGCAATCCGGGAGTATTTGATATTAATCCGTGCAATTTGGTATTTAATCCACTTTTTTTACACTTTGCATTAACACAACCGGTTGCAGGGGGGAGTTGAGTTGCATGTTAAGTTCCCTCATAAGTTGTTTTTTTTTGTTTTGCTCGTTTTTTTTTTTAATTATTGTTATTTTTTAACGGAAAACTTGTCTGAATTTGCACAGAAAATTTAAGCTCTGGAATACTTTGGTATTTCTGAAAAAAAGGGAAAAGAAAAAAAAATTGTGGCTAGTATTAGTGAATTGTCTAAACTGTGAGTTGGTAGAACCACGTGGTCGATCTAATCGTAGATTGTTCAAGATGTACCTCAGAAAGCTCGTTTTTGTTTTCCACAGCACTCAGATGTAACACTTCTCACTTGACAATGTGCCAAAATTCACTTTTATACTAGTTCTCAATGCTTTAATATTTGCAACTTTAAGTTAAAAAAAAAAAACACAAAAACCCACATGTGTTCTTTACCAACACTACTGTAACTTCAGTTCAGCTGAATGGTGTGATTGAAGCTTTTTGCCTCTCGTATTTATTACACAACTTCGAGTCAGTAAAAGATAAAATTGACCTTTCCATTTATTTTTGTATTGTTTTACATGTTTATACCTTGCAGTTTTGTGTGACTTTTACACCTGTAACTCAAATGTGATGGAAAGAACCAATAAACAGTATCCATCCACTGCCTGGCCTTGACTCTTCTTGCTTCCTAAACTGGGATTTTTAAACTTTCATTTAAAATTCGTTCATTTTTTTGAAACAGGCAGAAAGGTGAGTAGTTTATATTTAAATTAAAATATGAAGATTTAAGGGTTTCTGGGTTTTTTTAGCTGCTGTTTTAAAGTTTAGACCTTCCTGCTTGTGCTTTTAATGGGGTAAAATTTAAAGGTAATTGTAGGAGGAAGGATTATTCACCTGCTTTGTGCTGCTGTCTCTGTCTTCCAACAGCTGCACATGAGCATAAGTTGATCACTGCAGACACACAAAAGCAGGGGCAGCCTCATAAAAATGAGGATGCAGCTCCAGGCTCAGCTCCCCTGGATCTGAAATCAGGCTGCCACGGAGAGGCCAATCCCACCTTACCCTCCTTTTCCTGCCTCGGTGGCTGAGCTGAGTCAGAGCAGTTCTGCTAATTAAATTCAACCTGCAGGTGATTTGCTGTCTCCATGCCTTTGGCATCACTTTTGGATTTCTTGGAGGAAGGTTTTGTGCTCAATTTGATTTTTGTGAAGGGTTTATGTAAACCCAGCAGGTTAAGCCCAGCCTGGTTTGCATATTCCAGATGTGCACACAAGAAACAGCAGCTCCTGGGGCATTCCTGCAGTC